AAAGGTATCTTGATGATTTAATATTTAAAAGAAAGCTTAGATCGTAAGCTTTCTTTTAAATATTAAATCATCAAGATACCTTTAAAATTCATCGAGATATAAGCTGTGAAATTTAAGATATTAATTTTTTTTCAAATGTAGATCTGCTTGATTTCTATTGACGGCAGCCCATATATTATTCTTGTATATTTTATGCATCTCTCGCGTATTTTTATGCGCCCCTTGCATATTTTATACTCCTTGCATATTTTATACACCCTTGCATAACTATACATAACTATGCATAATTATATATAATTATGTATAATTATATAAGAAGTATAACAATATACAAGAGATAAAAACTTTGCTCAATAGTAGGCTTGAGTTGAGTTCAAAAAGTTCAAGAACCAACTCCAATAAGCTTTTTAACAGCCCTACTTTTGCTTTGTGCAAAAGTTTGAAATCATTATAATCTAGTTTTAGATCTCGGCTCTGTAAATAATCAATAAGTTGGTCGTTGTCGAAATCCTTAACAACATCCGCCATTATGCGAGAAGACTTTTCTGTAATCGTAGAGGAAGAAGAGGCCAGGAAGAAACAGAAAACATGCTATCGTTTTTATATTTATATCTTTATGTCAAAAATTTGGTTGATGTATTTCTTTATAAAATCTATGTGAATTTTTAGATGGATCGGTAGCCTATATTTATGTGATAGGAGCTATATAGAATGATTGAGGTTGATTTTCTTCGTGCAAGCAGTACAGAAATTAGCAACTAGAGAAACCACAGATTCTAAGCACCGTTTTCACATAATTTGTAACGCATAACGAAAATGCAAATTAGAAAGCTGAAGTATTTAGCAATCTCAGATGCTCGAACTTGTGTGAATTTTCTAAAAACATGCTTTGGGGTGTCCAATATACTAACTGTCGCCGCTCAATTTGTCGCACGGATCTTGTGCATAAAAATTATATGAAGCGACGTACCTAAATTCTATATATAAAATAAAATTTATATTATAAATACCATATAATTTTTTATTATAACTTGTTGTCTAATATTTAAAAATTAAAAGTTGGGGTAAGGTTTTTAAAGTTGCTAAATATTCTTACTTAATCTATCTGGCTTTGATTGTTTAGACAGTTTTTGAAAAATAGCCACCATGGTGTTAAACACCACCGGTGTGGGACCAATATTACTGATCCATTTGTCAAATTTTCTTATTTAGAAGAATGTTAAAGCAAAGCAATTAAAATTAGAGTTATTAGTGCTTCAAGGCATGTTTAAACACTCATTTTTTTGTATTTTTAGGCTTTTTGTTTTTCTTTGCTTTGTAAAAATTTTATGGTTAAACTATTTAGATTACCCAATTTGATTTGTAATTTATTTAGATCATCCAAATAAAAAATTTAAAAAATAGATGGCCCTAGTGTGATTTAACAATGTTGTCTTTTAGAATTATATAGAACTTCTCCAATTCATTCCGTTTCACTCCAGCATATTTTTAACCCTCTTCAACTTGGGTTGGGCTCACTCCGGAGCTGCTCCACTCCATTAACAACCCCCAGTAAAAAAACTACTAACAATGTGGTTACCATATGTTACCGAATAAAAGCTACCAAAATGTTAAGAACTTTTTCTGGCCAAAGTGAAGAGTAACATCTAATTGTACTATTAAAACATGATAACTTCAAATTTTTGGATTCAAAATCGAGGGTAGTTTTTATTCTGGGGTAGCATTTATTTGATAACATACGGTAATGTAATTAAACAAGTATAAGTGGGTTTTAGTAGGCTTTATGAATCTAAATTGAGACACCGAATTTTCAGCTTTAGCCAATTTCAGCATCAACCCCAACAATTTATTGTGGACATATAATAAAAATGCTATGAAGAAAAGCTTATATACCACCTTGATGAAAACAAATCTTACATAGTGAACCAATCAAAAAGTGCTGCACTGTGATACAACAACCCTAGCGTCGCCCAGAAAAAATGGTAGCAGGATCTTACATGTGATTTCGGATATTGATTGCCGATTTTTTATTCGATGAAAAATAATTTGCACGAATAAAATAGTGCGATCTTTATATACTACTGAAGTAGTTTATTTTTAATACACCAATTACAAGGTAAATTAATATATATGACATCTTATGAATTCGCGAACTTTATACATACTAAACGAGAGTAAAAAAGTGAGCAGCATTATGTAATTATAGTTATTTCAAATACTAAAGTTCTTCGTATTTATCAGTTAAATTAACGAGAATAAAGAATATGAAATATTTACAAACCTAAAGGAAGATTTAAGCGATCGATCAAAATCTTTATATTCAACTGAATTAATATGAAAAAAAATAGATAAGTATAGTATTCAGAATCGTTTCTGAGAACCAACTATCCGTTTCTTTTTTTTAAAAAAAATATTTAACTTAAATATATTCTCCTGTTTTGGATCTTTGAATTTTTATTTCCACCTAAGTCGCGTGTTTAGGTTCGTAGATAATAATTCTTTAATATTGCATAACGCCTTAGTCTAACCTACCGGGACCAAACAAAATTATATGTGCAGTACTATGCAATGAGAGTTATTTATAAAGAACTTTATACCCATCAGCTAAATTAATGCGAACTAGTATATATTCACTTAGTTAACTAAATTAATGCAATAAAATAAATATTTACAATTTGAATAACTTATTTTAAGTAATTGATTAAAAAGTTCTTTACGCTCACTAGCTAAATTAACACGAATAATATGGAGTATTGAATAACTATATACAATTTTAGTTATGTAACTAATTATCATATTTGGACTGAGTCATTTTATCATTTAAAACGAGTTGTTTTGCTTTTAAAAAAATAAAACACTTTATTTTGTGAGTTTAGCATAGTAAATATTCCTGAAACCAAAATGAAAGTCAAACCGAAGTCGAAGTGAAAATCAAAGCGAAAATCAAAACGCAAAGTCAAAGCTAGGGTTGTTAATGGAGTGGCTTACTCCGGAGAACTCCAGAGTAGAACCCAACCCAAATTGGAGTGGGTTTAAAATTATGTCTTTAAATTTGGAACAACCTGGAGCAAAACATTGGAGTAAGTCTAATTTAATGTAGTGGGTTGAAGATTGGGTCAACCCAAACCAGCCCATTAACAACCCTAGTCAAAGCGAAAGTCAAAACAAAGTCAAAGCAAAATCGAAAATTTAATATTAATATTATTATTAAGCATAATAAATACAACTTTCACGGAAATTAATTTTCGAAATCACATGTAAAACAGCAAAAATCCAGATATCATTTTTTCTGGGCGACGCTATGAGCCACAATGCTATAATTAATTTTACCATGAGCCGCAATATTAATTTTGACGTCAACATTAGGTCGGTTAAGCCGAAAGTATTAACCACTTAATTCAGCCGGCATTAAAATACTATAATTCTAGCCCACGATGAACATAGTTCTAACCGGCATTGCGAAATAATTTTTATGCGGTTAAATAGATCCAATCTTAGCCGAAGTTTGATATTTTGAAAGTTTCATAAAGAACTCAAAAACCAAAGATATTAACTGTATTCATTTGTTTTATCATGCAATATTAAAAAGTTTATGTTAAAAACATTTATAATTTATAATATTTTATTAATTTATAATAATAAATTTTTATTTAAAAAATCAAATTTTATTTATAATTATTTCTTTATTATTATTGTTTTTATTCGTTTCTACATATACAATTAATTTTTTTAAATTACAAAAAAAAAAATTTTTTTAAACTTCGAAATACTTAGTTTCAGAGATTTCTCTTGTTTTAGAGATTTCTCTTACTTGTCCCAACCACCACGTAGAGGTGTATCTCGTCGGTTGGGAAGGTTTCCCCAACCTATCTCTTTCGAATTTCCACATCGAAAGTAGGTTGTTCCACTTGAATTAATACCGAAATATTAATTCAATAAGCTTTAACTCATAACCTCTAGAG